CTCTCTGGGGATGCTTTCACTGCATGCCTCTGTGCCATGGAAGGACCGTCTTTCCATTGAAGTTCTCTCACCTTCATCAGTGCTCTGGATTCTTGTCCATCTTTTAAAGGCAGCAAAGGAAACCTGAATTCTACTCTCTGTTCTTAAGTGATATTCTCCTACCTCTGATCTAACCACTATTTGATCAAATTCTTTGACTTACTGTTTCCAAAATTTCCTCACACTAGATTTTCTTCATCATATAATATTTAGATTGCCATAGTTGGGAAATTCTCCTTTGCTTTACTTAAACCTGTCTCTAGTTTGCAAAGTGATGGTGTGTCCAAAATGCCGTTCAAAAGTATGACCTTTGGCTGAGGAAATTTATGAGTCAGTAAATATCTTGCCATACGTGAGCTCAGATTTCTGCCATTAACATAAAAACCTGGATGCAAAATCCTGTGCCTGCAGTATACCACAGGGAGACAGAGACAGGATGATTCCAGGGCCTCACTGTTCAAACCATCTAGAAGACTCACGAGACGCTTGTTCAGTGAAAAGTCCTGTCTCAAAAAAAAAATAAATGAGAGGGAGAGAACAAGGAAGACACCTGATATTGACCTTGGTGTCCACACGCACACATGGTGTGTATCCACATATATATGTGTAACCACATTTCACACATACTCATCCACCACACAGAACAAAAATGAAAGGAAGTGTTGGTAATAAGGTTGTTCCTACTGAACCCCAATCAACACTATCTGAGACTCAGAGTTAATCACTCATCCTGTGATTCACTCTCAAATGACAAAATGGTCATTCTTATCTCTTTATATTCTTGGGAGTGTTATGAAAGTCAATACAGGACAAACTCTGATGATCTATTTCATTTAAGCCAGGTATCAGCTCATCATTTTCCTCGTCGAAGTCTGCAGACACTTATCTCTACATCACAGGCTTGCAACTTTTTTCCCATAGACTGCTTACAAAGAAAACCCTTCGTCATTAGAGAAAGCTATGAATGATCTTCTACATTAGTATGTGGAGGAGGTTCATGTGATGGCCATTGCTCACTTCATAGCAGTCCTCCATTAGACATACAGATACCTCTTTTCATTTTCTCTCTGCAGTGGCACTCAGACCCCATCATTTTTACTTCCTCTTTTAATCTACTGAGCAATTTATCTTAGATGCAGTAATGATGCTGAGGCCATGTACCCAAATACTTTGATTTCTTTAACAAAGCTATATAAGCTCCTGCTTCAATGCTTGCCAATGATTGGATGCAC